GGCCTTCCAAAGCGACATCCACCATCTTGGCGGCCGAGATCTCCTCCAGCCCATTTTACTGTCGTCTCCTGGCGGTGGATCGTACTCCTGAAAAATTGTATCATTATCGACATTATCAAAGTTTCTGAAATCCTCCAAAGGGTCTCTTCCTTGTATCAGCGGAGCATCTTGAAGAAGTCCTTGTCCCTGATAAGACTGAATAAAGGACGCCATGCATTCAACTGAATTCCGTTTGTGCCAGAAGACTGTGTTATGTATTAAAGATTCTTAGGACCCACAGCTGCACCTATCACAGATACAAACTGGAACGTCGAATCTGGGAAACTGAGCGACTATATAAACCGAAAGTAGATTCTTCTTCAGGCCTCTGTAACTAGATATCAGTTGACCCAAGTATGTTGACGTTATCTGCTCTTTTCGTTTATGTCTTCTTCCGGGCGGTGTGCACACTCTGATGTTGCATCATGGTCGTAAAACAAAAAGCGAGTCATTTGCATCCTGTCGCGGTCGAGTGAACATCTCCGGCGACATCAAGATTTTTTTATCATGAAATAATCAGTTTTATTTTTACTATTTAAAAGAATTTTACCGTATTTCGTTGAATAAAAATCAAAGTTCCGAAAATTATGGCTGGTTTCCAGTTATATCTTCTACCAGGCGGGAATTAAAGTTCTAGTAACTCAGACAATTACACTCCCTATAATACGCATGATCATTTCGTCAATGACGATGCCAAAAATCTGAAAAATGATGGCGAAGTTCAACAAGATATAAATATTCAGCTCGTTTGGGGAATCAATGTTAAAACATCCTCTTACAGGAGGATGGAGGGAGATCCATGACTTCGATAGTGGGAAGCACAGTGTTCTTAAATGTAAAAATTACAAAAGTAGTCAAAATAAAAGTAAAGAGCACATGCTTTTTCCATTTCTTCTTCCAAACACGCACCACAGCAACATTTAAGTAGGACATTTGTAGCCAAAGCAAAAATGAATTGAAAACCTTTTCTAGACAAAGTAGCAAAAATAAACTAGCACAACAAGATAGTTAGAACTGTTAATCTTCCAAAGCGCCATGTGCAAAGCTCAGTACGATGAACATTGGGAGATTCTTGAGCTCTGATTGCAAGACGCGGAAAATTATACCAGATGTAAAGGAAAAAATACCACGAGCAAAAAAATAATTTAGTTTGTTAGCCAGTAGCTATCCAAACATCACAAGAGTAAAAATGAATAGAAAGAGCTCAATGATAAAAAAAGCTCCCATGTTTGGCACGGTTATTCCATTCTATGTTTTTCTGATGAAAAAAACCGGGCGACATGACTCGGATTTTGGTTGACCTGACTCTAGTTTCAGGCGACATGACTTTTGGGTGACTCGACGGTAATGAAGAAGTAATTTTCTGACGAAACTGTGGTGCTGCGTCGGTGGGATTGTATAACAGGGTAATTTAGTGTTATCAACTGAGTTGAAAACGTAAATTGGCCACCGTAAAGAGTTTAAAGGAGGCCATTTCGAGCGTTAGCCCTTCGTCTTACAGGACGGTAAACCTACCAAAATTTCCGAAGACCACCCGAAAAGCTGTTCTGATGTTGCCCAGGTTTTTCATAACATTCCGTCTTAATCTACTTGCTTCAAGAGAAAATCTCCTTCCAACCTGTCATATCATGAAACGGCGAAGGCAGATAAAGAGAGAACGATTGTGTTGTGGGACATTGTGTGTGTGCTTACATGTACTGATAATTTTGAAGCCTTAGTCTCCTTTACAGCCGTTTATGGGAATGTCACGCAACGTGGAGGAGTGTTGCGTGACATCCCATCCTACTTTGAAGGAGACTACACTTAGTCACAGGATGGCAACTGAAAATTCTCACGCAGCACATACTCTGAAGCCATATCCATATCAGGTGGCTGGACATGCGGCTCAAGGTGAGCCCTATGAATAAGATAAATTTTACAATACGTTAATTTGTACTCGTTGAGCTCACGAAAAGTTTTGTATGTTCTTCAGTGTTAACTGAACGTGATCGATTCTCCTCCATATGCACAATTTACCTCATTGGTACTTAATTTCGCGATTTTAGCGGAACAGTATTTCTCGGGGTGTAATGTTCGCGATTTTAACGGGAAAAAAGGGGCATCGAATTTCGCGATTTAAGCGTTCTCAATTTAATTTTATTTTCGAAAAGTCTGAACTTTAAACCTTCGGCCAGTTTTGCGGGAAGTCGATAAAAATATCTATTGGTGTGAAAAGTGCGTAGGAAGTTATTCAAATACATTGAAAGGTTGGAGGAAAAGGAACTCACAGGATTGTAAAATACCACACACAATTTTTATTTAATTTTGAATACTTGTGGCAGATGGATGACGATGTGACACCAATAAAATGAAAGCATTTGAAAGGTAGTCACTTTGTAACCGTACGCAATTACATGTTAATTACTATTTCATTTTCAGAATGCTACTGAAGGACAATATTCTCAGAATGTAGAATTTCAGCCGAAGATTAACAGTCAGTTAACCTGAGATCATTACAATTCTTATTTTTAGGGGCATTGAAATTGACTGATGATGGATGTGTCCTTAAACCAGTTCAGAGACCTCCAAAGGGGATGAGAGAAGTTGTTTTCTATGACACAGTATTCAACCAAAGCGAAAAACGAGAGGAGATACTACAGCTTAGAAGACTTTTGCCTTTTTATCATGGGATTGTGGAAATAGGTATCCTTAACCCTTCTTCTTAAAAGGAAATAGAAATTACTGTCTCTTGTATTTTACTTGTTTTATCTTATTTTAGATAGTAACTTGGAAAAAGTTGAAAATTTTGTGAGCATTGCCATCACAACTTCTAGAATTCGGATTAAAACAAAAACAAAAAACAAATCAATCTGGAAGCTTGTTTCTAAGATTTAATGCACCAATCAATTCAAAGCTTCTACATCCCACCCCCCCCCCCTTGGGAGTGGGAGGCATTTGAACCAAATGTGTGAAGTCTTTCCAGCATTATATGTGTTTTAATGAAGGAGTTAAAAGAGAAAAGGTAAAAAGTGTGTTTCCATGAGTGATACTTACAAGCAAAAAATCCAACAGCAATATCAAAAACTAATATGTTACTTTAAAGAATTCAACAACATTTGTTGATCACACAAAGAATTGTTCTATATGTGGTGGGGCATTTGAATCAGGGAGTCAGAATTTGAATTGGGGGGGGGGAGAAGGGCTGTTGAAACTTTGAACAGATTAATCTTACTGTTTTCCTTTATTTTCAGTTTAGAAATAAGTTTATTACATCTGGTATTTAGTTTTTTTAAATTTAAAAATTTAAATTTTTTTCTCTTACCATTTACAGTCCAATAAGACCTTTACAGCTTTAAAAATAATACTGAAGCCACAAATGATCCAGTACTGCAACTGATAATTATGGATAACCCAAAAAAATCCTTGTTAAAAATTCAATGGTATGAATTTTTTTCATCTGAAGTTTTACATACAGCTAATTCATTAGAACAGCAAGGCTTAAGAATCAGAGAAAGATAAATTAAGATCCTTCATATTGATACAGGGGTATTATGAATGAATCATACATTCATTAAAGAGGTTTGCCTAAGAGGATATTGATTCATAATATAAGCCCTGTATTTAATACAAACACTTTTTTAAATATTTCTTCCACTTATTTATTTAGAATCTGTTTGTTTAATGTTTGTTAGTCCTAAGTTTGCAATGAAGTAGCTACTTCTAGTACCTTAGAAAAAAAAATCAACACCTTTTCAGATTTTTTGAAAGGATCATTTGTGTACCTGGAATCATTTGCACTGCTGTACAGAACCAAGGATGGGATCAAGGAGACTTTTCAGGCATCAAAAGATCAAGTTCTTGATTATGATTTGTAGATTTCTTTCTATTTTGTTATGCTTCTTGATCCCTGGCCCAAAAAATACTAGCAGTTGTAGTGTTAACATCATCATCCACACATCAGACAATCTAGTTAACTGAACTGGCCTGATCCCTTTTATCTCAAGAATTTCCAAATTTCACACAAAGAGTAGTAGTTAATATCAAACAACTACCTTCCAAAACATTACTTTTGTTTCCATTTTTGTACCACACAAATCAGAGGGCAAGGGGTCCTATGGAATAAATATCTTTAGTTTATACCAAAACAGTGGATAGGGTTGAAGGTCTGTTCTGATTGGCTACTCAGGTTTTAAATATCCTCTGCTATTCACCTATAAGTTACTCATGTGAGATTTGTGCTGAAAAATATTGTAATAGTTGCAGGGATGAATGAGTTAAAATGATATTTTTGTGCTAAATTATCGCACTGTTGTAGTGTATGCAACTATTCCTGGAAGTGAAGGTGGCTAGTGGTGGATATTTACCTCATGGCATTGTAGCTCAGTAAATATCCACCAATAGCCACCTCCACTTCAGTGAACAGTTGTTTACTACCAGGAAGGGAGTTCTGGAAATGTTTAGTATGGAGAAGTAAAAGATCCTTGGGATTGTCTCACTCATCAATTCCATCTGGTTTGTTTGCTTCAGAAATGCTATGGGAATGCACTAAAATCTTTGAACAAACAGTTAGCAGGCCCTTAATGGTTGATTTTAGATACATCAAAGTATTTAAAACTGGAGAACATAACAAACAAATTTGATTTGCCATGTGTGATGGACATTAAGATGGGAAGAGTGACATGGGAAGACAACGCAGATGAAACATTTAAGGAAAGAAGACAGAAAAAATGGCCTCTGAGGGAAGTCACAGGTTTCAGCATTCTTGGATTTATGGTATGTTTCAATGATGTTATGTTAACAAATTACTGAACACAAAGAAAAGGTTGCTTCTTTAAATTATGATGACAAAGGCATTCAACAAACCTTAATGAGGAGACAAGCAAAATACACATGTGTTAATGACCAACTGAGGGGTCACGCTGACAGGATAGTAGCCTTGTTCTTTTTTTGGTGTTTTGTGGACCTCAACTTTGTCTTGGTCTATAAAAACACAAAAAAAAGAATCAGCCAATATCCAGTCATCATCACCTCCGCTTGATCAATAATGCATGTCTATTTTGCTTTTTTGTTGTGCGCACTTATCGCAGGCTGTCTTGCTTTGCAGCACAAAGGGTGAGGTTTATTTCATTTTTCTTGTTTTTTGTGCTCATTTTCCTTAGTAGCTATCTTGGTTTACTTGCTAAAATTACTCTTAGCTTTGTTTAATTTGTAAATTATTTACTATCAGGTCTACAACCACCAAAAGTGTTGCCATGAACACTACGATCGTGAATGGTGCCAGAAGTTGTCTACAGTACAGGATGCTGAAAAATGTAAGGTTTCTAATATTTTTTCTATTCATGATGTATTATATACTGAAACTGCTTGGACTTAACAATCTTGGTGAAATATGTAATACTTGTTTGTCAATCAAAGACAATTATATAATTGCCCAAATAATGTTGGAAATCAAAACCACGCAATAGTTCTTGTCAGAGCCTGTTGGAGTACTTCTGGGATTCAATAATCTCAGATCCAATCACACTTGTTCATATTTCAGCAATAGGGAGAAGACAGCAATTCACGTGATCATCTTGATTGAAACAGAGTAGGGGTGATATTCCTGTTTTTAGGATTTCATGTTTTCATTGCTTATTACCATTTTTTGTTGTTAAAACATTAGCCCTAAGATCTCACTCTTAATTGTTCCCAGGCTTTCATCAGTATTTTGGAGGTGTACAGTTTGATATGACATCGGACATATTGGGGCAGCTACTTACAAACCTTATGGATATCAAACAGTGGTTCACAACTCAAAGACTCTTCAGGTTTATTGCAAGCTCTATCCTTATTGTATATGAAACTAACTGCTCACGGAAGTTGGGAAAACACCAGAAATCCCACGAACAGTCTGAAACAGTGGAAAACATGCATCAGCGTTCCCCAACAAACCTTTTAGTTGATACAAAAATAATTGACACTGCCCATGTATTTCCATCAACAGATATTGATGATAATTATTTATTTGGCTTGGAGAATTTAATTTCAATATTTGAGAAATGTAGACAAGAATATGCTGTCAATTAAAGATTAAATTCAGCAAGGTAAAGCTGTGAATGAATGAATGATAATGGAACATTCCCTCATAGGTAAGATAAACAAACTTTTTATCTTGAAGTCCTTTTGATTGAAACTTTGATGGACACAGCTTATTTAACTTTACGGAGATTTCTTCGGAAACCACACAAAGACGCATTTCGTTAATCCCAGCAGTTTCGTTCTTTAAGTTGTGGTGATAAACAACTATTTACCGAAGTGGAGGTGGCTAGAAGTGGATATCAGGATATAGTAGTGCGGTCAGATAATATGTCAAAAAAAGATGATTCTAACTCAGTTATTCCTGCAACGATTACAATATTTTCGGGTGCAAATTCCGCGCGAGTTGCTCAGAGGTGAAAAGGAAGGAAGAAAACCCCTTCTGGCGGCTGGTATGTTGGCTGATAATGTCCATAGCCGAGACATTGTTCGAAAAATGAATATTTGGTCGAGAAGCGATATTCGAGTTTGAGTAGCCAATCAGGGTGTACCTTCAATGTTATCCACTGTTTTAGTAAATCTTAACCACTTTTATCTCCTACCGCATTCCTTCTCGATGATTACTTCTTCTGCATTTTGAAGTTGTCCCTTACCAACAAATTTAAGGTAAATTTTTCATATGACGACTAGCGACTCAAACTCTCTCGTGATAAGTAAGACACAATGTTTTTCACCGGGTACTGTGCCCGAGGCTTTGCACTACTTTGGGCATGTGTATTTTGCAGATTCGAATATGACAACCTTCTTGGCTTCTTCGTTTGGTGCCTTCTTGGAACACACACCCGTTCAAAGTTGAATGCTGTGATTGGTGATCACGTTCTTCGTCTGCAATTTGTGTCAATCTTGTCTATCCTCGTTTCTTGCTGGTAAATTCTTTTATATTTTGTTGTCATATGTTACCTATTCATGGTTAAAATTTTTTCGCCACCAACAATTTCGGTAAATTGTGATGCTAAACTGAACACATTCTGTTAACAACATTACAATTTCATGTCCGAAAGGTAATAATTTGGAAGGAATGTTACTGCATTATTTTCAGTCTGTTTCAAGAGAAAAATTCTTGATTTGGATCATAATTTGGACACAAGAATTTTCAAGGAAGTATCCCAACAGCAATGCATGCTGGCCAGATCAATAACAGGTAGCTTAGGTTCGCACAGCGAGCCCGCGTAAAAAATGAAGAAAAATGGTATTTCTGACGATTGAGTCAGTGAATAAGGCAGAAATAAATATTTTGTCGACACGAGATACGACAAGGCCTAGGCCTTAGGCCCGAGCATCATGGGTAATGATGCAGTGGTATACAAGGGGAGAGTATAGCACGTGACGTCCATCTAGCCTTGAGAACCAACCTTGCACCTTTGGCTGATGCCAAATTTATTTTAGTTGAAAAACTTATTTTGTTTAACTCTGAAGCCTCGTAGGATTGCCTGCTACCTGCTCTAAGTTTGACCATGGTTCCTACTCAACAGGCGAAAGTTTAGGACCTGAATGGAAATGAACGGTTGCAAAGTAAACGATTTAAAAACAAGCTAGACGGCCGGAAATCATTCTAGAAAACTCGCAAGATGCGAGGGAATAAACGCCAAGGCGAGGTAACTTGGTTTTCATTCGAATTTCAATTAGATTGCGAACATTCTGTCTTAAAAAAATCCTTTCCTTTCGCCTGTGGTGCGACATACACATATTTATAAATTGTGCAAGCTTGGGCTACCTGTAGATATCTCTCACTACCCGAGTTCGAGGCGCGTACTGTAGGTTACCGATTAAGTTATTTCTGCTCGGATTTGTGGCTCAAGAGCGAAGCGAGAAAAACAAGTTTAGTAAGTTATGTATCATATGTTTGCGTTCAAATAGAGTGGGAGGATTTCAATTCAAACAAACCTTTGAATTCAGCGGGGCGCACGATGGAATTCGGCCTGCAAAATTGACCAATCATGGCGCATGTACTGGCCTTGAGATATATCCTTAAAAGATGACATCACAACAATAATTGGAATCGCAATTTCAAATTCTTCAAACATTTTACCACAAATTAAAAGGAATAAAAGTAACTCTGAAGTAAGCCCAAGGTGCAAAACATACCAACGTGGACCAATCTACGCAGACACTCGAATTTTTTTCCGATGAGTTCAGTTAATCGAGGAGTTCTTAGAAAGCTTTTCGAATAAGTTCAAAGTAACATAGAGCAAACAATGAGAAAGAAGTGACGTAAAATGTCAGCGACTAAGTTGCGATTGTTTTTGATATGGCGCGATATTTCTTAACCGAACACAGAGCCAGGTGAGTGAAAACAATCACGGATTGCATCCGACATGCAATTAAAACTGGTTCTAAAGGACTGAGTCATCATTATCATTATATATATAAATATATAAAGTAAAGCACAAATGCTAAAATGAACTTCTACATCAAATGCCTGATAAGTCAGTTTATATAGAATCTTTTAAACACAGTGATAGGAGAAGAACCACTCTCACAGTAAAAAATCTGACATTTCTTGCTATCATTGCTGCGACGCACAAATCATAACTTTCCGTGAACCTCATCTTTCAACAAATTTACATCAATAATCCTTGTTACCTGGTTATCCTATGAGTAATTCATTGAATTTTTTACATCACTGAAAGGAACCTTTTATAAAACACGAACACATCACAACTACTTTTTCCCGTTGTTTACAACTAATTCACGTGATCTTGGCCTGATACATATATCTCCCAATTTGTTTTTGATTGGGTTCCCGGTCATTTCACTGGATTCATGATCCTGATGAGGGCCTGGGTCCATGCACCGTCGTGCCAGGGGAAGACTGAGTCCGGTGCGCTCTCTGAAAACGGAAAAAATATGGATTGAGGAAGTTGCCTTTAGCACACGTTCAATGCTTTATAATCGTTTACAACGCCTAGTGTACAAAACAAGTGTTGTGGTGACTTGATATGTAATTTTTCGTTCCACAGTGTACACAGTGACGGCAAGAATAAAGTTTGCAAAGGTGCATATTTGGTTTGATGGCTGAGAGTCGCCTGTTCGATACGTGAGAGGGAGGTACTTCATTTGTTTTCAAACTCGAGAATGTGTTTTTCTTTTCTTACAAAATGTTATAGAATACAAGTTTCCTCGTATTACACGATGGTAAATTTCGCCCATCTAAATACATATCAAGTAAAATTATTCTGAACATTTCATCCGTATATCCTATGAATTTGACCCTTCAGAAGGTGAGAAACATATCCTTTTTAAAAATTTCAATCTATCAATCTATACCTGCACTGTGTGAGTAGGCGGTGAAGAATTCGCGGAAGAATGGGACCCACTCAGCCTCTCATTAGAAGGATATCTGGGCATGCGCGGTGAAGGTGGAGTGAAGCCGTAACCTGAAAGATATAAGGATCACTTCACAGGAAATGCGCACAATGTAAAATTATTAACGTGTTGAGAAACACGAGAAAACGACGATTGAATCAATTTATTTCATTGAGGTACAAGGACTTAACGTGTAAAGAAAACATCGCCAGGCGACATATTATCTATAAATAACAGAAAATCTTCGACTCTTTTAAAAGAGTGATAAATACGTAACTTTTCTGGGCAATGTCAATAAAGAAGTATCAGTCTCAAAAACAAAATTGTTTGCTAATCGTCTCCTTATTTTGACATACAACTGTGATTCTCTTGTCTATACATCAAAGCGTATCACAATCTCAAAAACTAAATGGGTGGTCTCTGAGATTCCGTTCAAAAGGGTATCTACATTACAGCCTGCCTGCGCAGCAAATCATACCGACAAAAAGTTTTCCAATGGTCAACTATCTGCTAGAAATTTGAACAGCTGGTTGGCAGGGAGTATAAAAGTCGGTAGTTGTGTTCTTGCAGTTCTAGCTGCACCAACTCTCGAATTCGTTGAAAAAAGAAATAAGTTGCTCACCTAAGCAATCGCTTTCAAATGCAAAGGGCTGTTCGGACAAAATCTATTATGCATGTAAAATGAATTCCGAGGGTGATGAAGAAATTTACGTAGGAGTATATTAACCACACAAGTGGAAGCAGCCAGTACCTGGAGATATGGGTCTGTTGGTAGTTAAGGGAAGAGGACTGGATGACGTCCGGTCTCTCATCGACTGAGTCCCATGTGAAGTCATCTCATTGAAGTGTCTGAGCATTAAAACGTTGTCAAATATGGGAATTAAAAAAACAAAATTAGAAGACTTTCGGCTGATTATTTATTTCTCTTTGACTCAGTGTTACGTCACTAGGGAAAAATCTCGAAGTGAGACTCTTTTTGGACATTAGCAAAGAGGGAATGTACCCAGACCCCCCAGCCATCGGGATACTAACCTTTCATCATCCATCTCCAAACTTGACTCACTCTCTGACAGCTGTCTACTCAGAGCTTCTCGTCTTTCCATCTCCCGCAACAGTTTTCTCTGTAATCTGATATTTTCTTCTTTAATGTGGCGTTCTTCCTTTGCATAGGCTGCCATCTTCTCACAATCTGAGGAACAGAGAAGGAGAAATGCTACCACTGTATTATGCTGAGTCAACACAACTCAGCATGGTAGGGGAGGGCAGTGGATAGAAGCTAACGCTTGGCCACTAACTGATATTGCGGATACTTTCAATAAATTCCATCTCTACAACATTTTTCAACAGATCACCTTCCAATCAGTTTTGAAAAACAGTTTCAACTTGGTGGTCAGGGTTGCACTGGAACCAAGGTCCTCTTTCTCATTTTCATTACTCTCTGGGACGATTCCACAAACTGCGTCTCTTTTGCCGATTCTTTATTTATGGCGTTGATCCATTTGAAGCTTCAACATCCTGCCTCCCTCCTCTACTGGGCAACCCCCCCCCCCCCGGGGCATTTGAACTAATGAAGATTGTTTCGTTCAGAAGCCCCACCCAAGAACCAGATTTGACGTTTAAATTTTTTTTTGGAAAAGGAAAAAAAAAGACCTTGACTCTAACATTGACCAAGCTTTAAAACCTAGACCTTGTAAACCTTTTTCATCTGAGCCATTCACT